TTGACTTGGAAAAAGGTGACTTCCCCAACATCAACATTTCAGTCTCCCCTTCAGAGGCTTGGACAGCTGGAGCAAGGCACCATGGAAAGACCCTCGCGACCCTCGCTCTGGCAGGAGGCCAACTGTGCAGGGAGACCATGGAGCACTTGGCCTCCACCACGGGTGAGTTCTCAGCTGGGTGTCAGGAAAGAGCTGATGTTCTGAAAACTGATTCCCCTAAAACTATCTGTGCCCAAGACCCTTTGGCAACTCTTCAACCAACCTGCCTCCCTGTCTCTTCCCCAGAGCATGCATTCCTACAAACTGTCAAATGTGGGCAGAGGGGTGGAGGGCCCATAAACCTAAGATAAACCCATGGACCTGGAATCCCAGTTTACAGAATGAAAAAGTTTGAGAGGCTCTCTGCTGTCTGGAGGAAACAAAACAAAAACAGGTGCCCTGAGGTGACTCCACTCATGGTGACCTCTGGTCGGAGGAGAACTGCACTCAAAGGACTGTCAGAGGCTGATTTTTCACCAGGCCTTTCTGCCGCTGTGCCTATCAGTAATATGAACCACCAACCTTCTGGGTAGCTAACCACTTGCACCACCCAGGGACTGGTGCCTGGAGAAGCAGACATTAACACTTTAAAACAAGAATTTGCTTCAATCCAGTACAGGTCAGGCTCCCAGAGCACATGCCCTTAGGTAAGATAATGAGGCCGAGAGAGCCGCAGGTTCAGGAAGGGAAGAGTAGAAGGGTGGATTTCTACAGAAGCCTCCTCACGTAATCCCTCTTCATTGGCTGCCCTGAAGATCCAACCCGGAAAGCAGGCCCGCAGGACCTTCCCCTCAAGGCTCTACCAAGATTCCTGTCTATCTACTTAGCCTAAGCTGGAGTTCTCACAGGCTAGTAAATGCTCGGAGCTTATTTGCAAGCCAGGGTCATATCTGCCTAGCAACCCAACATGCAGATTTAAGAGACTATAAACATGGACAGAGAACAGGCAGGCCAACTCTGCACAAAAGGATCTATTCTCATGCAAATGGGGCCAAGCAAGAAGGCTAGAAAACAGAGAGCAGTGGGCACAGCCTGGAGGAGCCGATTCATTCCCTAAGATGTTTGGGGACTTTTTCAGGGCATCACTCTAGCTTTGCCCACTATAAACGAAGGGACGAAGGGGCTCTGCCTGCCACTTGGCTTGGGACAGACACAAAAGAAGAGGCTAAGAGGGGACGAGGGCCTTCACTCACTTTCCTGATTTTTCTTGTCCTGCACTCCAGATTCCAAAGGTTCTTTTGTTCTTATTTAGAGCTCAACAGGGTTAGTTTTGTTTTTTGGGGGGTTTGATTAGCATGGTAATCGAGTAGTGCTTTGCTTTCCCTGGAGGAGTGAAAAAAGCAGGGGTTTTCACGCTTGGTCTCACCAGGACTGAGGGGACAAGGTGAAGGCTGCGTCTAACCAGGGTGGGCAAAGTCAGCATCTGCAGCTGGCAGGAATGTGCGAAGACTAGGTTTCTAGACACTTCTCCATGATCTAAAAGCAGACAGCAAATGTCCTCTTTAGATGAGCACAGAGGGACTCCAGTTGCAAAAAGGGCCAGTTGTATGACCTTGGGCAAATCCTGCCAGGACTCTGGGCCTCTTTTGTCCCAGCTGTAAAGTGAGGATAATGACTGTGTCCACTTCAGAAGGTTGCTGATGGGATTAAAATTAAATCACACACATAAGGCACTTAATACAGTGTAGGAAAAAAACAGCCCACAAACCACAACATTACTACGTATTATTGAGACTTAGGATCAATTCTTGGCCCACGCATCTCATGCAGAGCCATCACCCATCAGAGTGCTCTATGACACCAAACAGGTTTCAGCGGAGCTTCCAGACTAAGATGGACTAGGGAGGGGGCCTGGAGATCTACTTCTGAAAGTCAACTAATGAAAACCCTATGGATTACAATGGTCTGATCTGCAACCAACACAGGGCTGGATGCAAGACCAGGCGGCATTTCATTCCATTGTGCATGGGGTCGCCGTGAGTCAGGGGCCAATGCCACCACAGCTAACAGCAACAAGAGTCAATACAAGTGTGTCCCCCTATAGGCAGTTTTGTTTGCTCAAATATTCAGGTGTAGTTTATCCAACCATTCACTGACCTCTAGGGCTTGTGACGCTGTCTGATATTTTAAATCAAGAAGCTAAAGCACCAAACACTTACGTAACTCGCTTGGAGTCACCCAGTAATAAATGATGGGCTGCCCCCCTATCCTAAGCAAGACTCAATATAGTACATAACACATCATACTAACCATAGTAAACGTAACCTAAATGTCAAAGGTTCCATTTACTCAGTTCTGTCTTAGCATCATGTTCTCAGTTTAGGAGTCCCTGGGTGTTGCAAATGGTTAAGCATGCAGCTACTAACCAAAACGTCAGCAGTTCAAACCCACCCAAAGCCACCT